TCTTGACATTTAAGCCCTGTGTCCCGCCAAGATCCGACCACCATCCCCCCGACCTGAGCTGATGGTGGTGACATTCTCCCTGAATAACCCCACTGAATTTTCCATGTTCTATCATCATCTCTGAAAAGCCTCCCAGACACTAAATTAGGCAAGCCCTCAAACATGCCCCGATTCCAGATGGGCGTCATTAGACACAGGCTAGAGGAAAGGGCAAAAGTCGCCTCGAGTATGTAAGCAGATCTTGCCAGGCAGATGGCAGTGGGAAGCTTGGAGCCTGGCTCCTGAGCGCCCTGAGCAGGGCCCTCACCACACCCCCTCGGTCACCAGAGGGAGTCTCATGAAAATATGAAAACCAGATGGGTGGCTTGGGAACCAGACAACATTTCTGAGGGTTAAGCAAGCAGCTACCCAGCAACTTCTTAACCAGGGTGCATTCTGTCCCTTTTAAGGGGCATTAAAAAGCACCTTTTGAAGATAGGTCGTAACTCCTTCCTGGGGAGGGCGTGACAGGTGTTCTGAGCTGTGCGTGCTGCCACCCTTGGCTGCCTCCAGCTCATGTTTCTTTCTATGCTCTGCAAGTTGACAACCAACCAGATAAAAATGTTCTGTCCCAGACCCCAGACTATTGATTTAACTCCCACAGCAAGTATTTTCTAAATCACATCTAAGTGGTCAGCCAAGCTGCTCGTGTCGTAAAGATGCTCTTGTTGTAAGTTCCCCTGCTCTTGGATCACCTGTGGAGTGGGCGCCTGGAGACAGCCTGCTTCTTTGCTCATGATTCCAGCCCTTAGAGGGTTAAAATGTGAACGTACAGCAGCGTCCGGTTCCAAGAGAATCAAATAGTCACTACTTGATATCCCCGAAGGATGGGTTCTAGCACATCCCCTGACCCTGCGGACACCCAAATCCACAGATGCTCAAGTCCCTTATATAGAGTGGCATAGGATTTGCGTATAATCTACGCATGTCTCCTGTAGACTTTAAAAATCATCCCTCGATTTCTTATCATGCTTCCTATTATGTTAATGCTATGTTAATAGTTGTTACACTCTATTAATAGTTTAGGGAGTAGCAACATTCAAAAAGCTTGTACATGTTCAGTAGGGATGTAATTTTTTCCCAGATATTTTTGATCTGTGGTTGGTTGATGATGTGGAACCTCAGGACACAGAGGGCCAACTGTATGTGGTGGTCACATTACTAGTTCTCTGAGTCCTCAGTGGGTACCATCAACTGATCACCTCAGGACTTCCTGAAAACCTGAAGACAGCCTTATAATCCCTCCCAACCCAGCTCTCCAAGTCCTCTCTACCAATCCATCAGTGTCAGGTGGAGAATCTTAAAAGCCAATCCTACATCCAACAGTTGAGGAAACAAATCCAAACAGCCACCTGATGAAGAATGACTTGGTCAGGGACCTAAAAAGTCTGGAACCATGTGGGCCCAAACACCAAGTTCTGGGCCTCCAACCTAATTGCCTTCCACTGTCCCAACAAAAGCAAATGTCTGAGAAGAACATGCTGATGATGATCCAGTTCTTTATGCCTCTGGTATCATTTCCCCTCTATAGTTGGGGACCCAAGAGGCAGGAAGAAAGGAAATCTCACAGAGAAAGACCAAGGGCAACTGTCAAATAAAAACATCATGGATTTTTTTTTTTCCTCCCTAAAATGCAGAAGAAAGATACGTGAGATCAGTCCCTGTTTCTCAGAGCCCCATTACCAACCTTGACTGGCACACGGAGCTTGCAATTTTCTCTCTACCACGCTCCCCTAATGGCTGGGCCTCCCCCCGGGTACTCCTATGGCCCTCTGGCTCCAGTGCTGTCAGTCAAGAACGTATCAGACTCTACCTTACATCTATATGGCTTCTCACTCTAGTCCACAGAGTGGAAAGACATCCCCTGACCCTGTGGACACCCAAATCCACAGATGCAAAGTAAATGCAGATGAAAAGTCAAAAAGCACAAAACTAAGTACAGTCTCCTCTATCCTCCATGTTAAGGATCTGATGAAAGGAATCAGTGTTGCTTCTGTTGGCATGGTAATGAAACTACAGTTTTGTGCTTAAAAGTCCTTATCTGTCAAGACACCTATTGAGGTGTTCACAAGTGGAATGGACTTTGCTTTAAAATACCCAAATTTCCAAAGGGAAAAACAAACAGAGGTAGGTAGCTAAAAGAAAAATGGCAGAGGGGTGCTAGTTGTGGAAGGGTGGTGATCATATATGGTGATAGATTTCACTACTACTTGTCTTCTTCTGAGGAGGAAGACGTCTACAATACAATGCTAAGAGCTTCACTTCTTAAATTAGCCAAGAGTTAAACACACATGCATGCACACACACATGGTCACACCAGTGCCAGGTAGTTGTAAGTGTGGCTGGTGGGTGTTGGTCCCCAGTTTGGGCTTTACCCACACAGGATTTCAGCCTTGTCTTGTGAGGTCAGAGTGGAGTGGGAAGGGGTGGGATGGAGTAGTAAGATCCATCAGGCCCAAAGAAAGAGAAAGTAAAGCAAACAATTCCCATTTAGCTACCAAACCCTGCCTTTCCAGGGCTGACAATGATGTAGTCATCCCTATTTAGATTTGTCTCTTGGTCCAGCCCCCTCCCGACTCATGGCTGGGTTCCATGGTACCAGGCAGAAAGTAGAAGTGGACAGAGCCATGCCACTGATCTCTAAGACACTGGGGGTGCCAGTCCTGGGGCTAAGTGCCCCATCCAACAGACAGTGACTGAGAAGCCAGACAGGCAGCCCCTCCCCTGTGCACAGGGGCCAGCTCTGGGGCTCAGGGTTCTCTGAATGTTGAATGCATCCTGCTTCTGCCCTCACCTGCCACCTCCGGACTCAAGAGTGGCACTCAGTCTATCACACAGTCACGTGCAGCCGTGACCAGCTTGGCTGGTGTTTTCTGATATCGCAGTGAGGAAGAACAAACCTCAGAGACATTCTCATGGGAGGAAATCCAGAAAATAAAGGTGGAACAGAGAGGTTGGCCACTGTTCTGGTGAGGATAGTCGTTTTCTGGATCAATGTATCAGGTGTCTCCAGAAAGACCTAGGAAAGCCCAAAGAGCCCAGGTAGAAGGAACAGGCTCAAAGATGACATTCCTCAGGCTCTTCTTGTCTGGATGAATAGACGGAGACCTGAAGAATGGATAACAACCCAGAGCATACCCTTCCCCATGGATGGCAACATCAGCATTTACCATCATTCTGTTGTTACCTGAAAATAACTTAGAACCTGGCTCTTGGCCTACAAGGTCCTACAATGAGGACCAGGAGGTGTTGCAGAGAGAGCTGGGGAATCGGGGATGGAGACCCAGCGCACAGGCCTCCATCCAACCCATCTGGTCCAACCTCAAGGTCTTCATGCCTCACTTCAACCCTTCAAGGTCAAGAAGGGTTCAGGAAGGGCATGGAAAACACAGGAAGCATCTCAGGCCATCCAGAAGCCTTGAAATAAGTGGCAAGATCAGAACTGATAGTAGCCCCTAGGTGGCTTAGTGTGAGGTTCTATCAAATGTAAGTGATATCAGTACTTTCTAGTGTTTAGGCAGGTGATCAGAGGTCTATCTGTAGGAGGGGCTGATGCTCTTGGAGTAAATGTATCCCAGGATGAGGGATGAGGCAACTCCAAGAACCTGCAGTGGAATCACTAAGCTATCCTCTCTTTCCCCCATATGTTCCTGTTAGAACCCTTTGTGGTGAGGGAGGTAATTAAAAGTCAAAGAAATGCTTCATGGAAACTCTGGCAGACCCTGGAGTCCAGAAGCACGGTTTTGGGATGGACACATTCACCTCCTTCTCCTTCTCCATCTTGAACAAAGCACTACACAGGAGAGCCATTTCCTTCTGGTTCAGCATGGGTCACTGAGTGGTGTGAGTACCCCAAGGGTTCCAATGCATCAAAGATAGCAGTGCCAAAAGGGGACTGTGGGGTTGGCAGTATTACCTCCAATGGGTTTGGATGGAAAGGTCTAGAGGAGGTGAAGAGCAAGTTACCAGAGACGCTGTGCAGGTGGTGAGAGAATTTATAAATACCTAAGAAACATCACCTCCCACTGGGGGCCCCTGAAATTACTAGAGGGACACTGCAGTAGCATGAGGAAGTAGTCAGGGAAATGTACCCCGTTAACAAGGGAACGGTGAGGCTGGAACGCTCGTGTACTGCTGGTAAAAATCAGCACAGCTCACGTGGAAAGCCTTTTGGCACTTAATACCAAGAGTCATAAATGCATGTACTCTTATTCTTAGAGACAGAGCCTCAGAAAGAATCCAAAAGAAGAAAAAGCCTCCAGGTGGGAAGAGGTGTAGCATCATAATTTAAGACACTGGAAACCCCATCAATATCCACTGGGGATGCTCCGTGAAACCCCACAGGCCCATTTTAGTGGAACATTGGAACAGTTTAAAAGGACTGATTTCAGGACTTTCCCACAACATGGAAAAACATCTAACCCCAACCCCTGAGTTTATAAAACAGGGATCAAAATCACTGGGACTCATCAACCCATGAACACACGGGCACAAAGGACCACAGCAAGGCACAAATATGCCTCAGAACGCGAGGGGTTTGCCTCCTACACTTCCCGTGCTTTCTAAAGTGCTGATCTAAGATTCTTTAAAAATGAAATGATGACTACACATTTCAAAACACAAACCAGAAAACTACTCAGCACAGAACAGTAAGAAGAAGGGCACAGGGGCTTGGGAATGTGATGGGGGCGAGAGCTGGTCCTGAGCTCCCGGGCCTCTAGCCCTCTTCCCAGCACACCTGCCTGCAGCGGGGGGAGAGAGACCCCTGCAGCCTGCAGTAATGACTGTCCTGTGAGCGTCCCTCTGCCTGAGATGAGGACGAGAGAGGACACAGAAAGGGGACAGGCAGGTGCGCACCGGCAGGAGTCCAGGAAGGGAGCTCCTCTGGTGAGGACACAGGCCCACGGTGGCCCCGCTCCACCCGCCACACCCTGTCTGCATCCTGGGGAGGCTGTACTCACCGCTCAGGGGGGACGTGCTGTTCTCCAGGGCTTGGCACACAGCCAACACGATACCTGTGGGGGGGGAAGCGGAGACAGGTAAGTGTCTACTCAGCTCAGAGCTTCCTCAGAGGACTGGAGGGCGGGCCCCTTAAAAGGCCAAGCCTTGGGAGATTTCCAAAGGGGTCAACAGACAGGCCTGGCTACCTCATTTGTGGGACTCAGTGCATAGTGAGAACATGAGACCCCTTGTTCCAAAAGGAGGAACAAAGCACCCAGGACAGGCACCGTAAGTAGCAAATCAATGTTTTCCTTCCTGCCACCTCTCTCCACCTGTCCCGGTGGACTTTCCTTTTTTTTAAAAAAAAGCACCTTATAAGTACATTTCTGTAGTGGGAAAGTCTGCATAACACATGAGCCATTTTAACCACTTTTCAATGTACACTGCAGTGACATTAAGTATGTTCACTCCATTATGTGTGTCATGGCTTGTTGTTGTTGGCGGCTACGTATGTCATTATATGTCATGAGAGCACCTGCAGGGGGCCTGCAGCCCACCCCAGGTACACAGGGACCCTACTAGCAAGTGAGCCAGAGACCTATAAGTTGTTGGGTTCTCTCTGCAGACAGCCGCTGGGCCAATGTGGTACAATCCAATTAGGGTAGGGAAGTCCAGTCAGGGGTCTGTTCTTCCCAGGGACAAGGTGGATGGGTGACCCCCAAGGGTAGTGCACCCTCCATGCCAGGATGCACCAGGTGCCTGGATCAGGGAAGGGCAGAAGTTTGTTCCTCTCTGATTGCCCACTGAACAGGCTATGCAGCTGCCAGCTGGGGATGGTGACACCTGCCACCATGCTCCACCATACCTGACCCCAACATTTTCTGTACCCAGGCCCCACCAGGTGCAGAGCATAGCTGGGGCAATGACCCACCCAGTGGGGGTGGGAGATGGCGGTTAACAGGACCACAGCAACCAATGCTGTCAGCCTGTGGTGCAGCTCATCATCCTGTTGGGCTTCCCTTAAAAGACACAGATCCTAAGATCAAGTCAGGAGAATGTCAAGACTGCAGCTGCAGAGCATTAAACCTCCAGCTCAGGGTCACTATGAGTGTGGGGCTCTATGTGACCTGCAAAGTCACTCCTGGCCACAAATGACCTTACATACCCTCAAGTTATACATCAGAGGTTTCTGGAAACAGAGCAGCAAAAGTCCAATGAAGAAGGAAATTTTTCTGAGTTCTGCAATTAGCACGAATTAGCTTCCCCAAACTGAAATGCAGAAAGTCATCCCCATGACCACGCAGAGGGACTGGGCCACACAGGTTAGCCCAAGGCAGATGCAGCAAGTCAGCACAGAAAACAAACAAAACAATAACAACAAAGAAATGTCCTGTCCCATAGCACAGGACCCTTATAACCCTCACCAGGCTGGCTATGGGAATTCCTTGCCTCTCTTCACTTAGGGTATGGACACAGGAGTCCTAACTCTCAGAGGAAAACACACCTGAAACAGAGAGAGCACCTACTCTCATATGAGTGCTTCCAACTGCTTTTAGTGCCCAGGTCTGGCGTACCCTTCCCAAATATGGCTACAGAGTCTTGCGCCAAATATTTGGGCCAAGCTTAGGGTGGGGCAAGGGCATGAGAAGGCAAAAATGAGTAAAATCTCACACATCTCCGTGCAATTCTTTCTTGTGGCCCCACAGATGCTCACTTTGTTACTTAGCCTGTTAGGATTCCCCTGACATATTTCAAAGGGTAAATCTGGACTGCACACATCAGGTGCTTCAGCAAGGTACGTTGGCTGCAGCCAGGAAGAGCTGTAGAGGTCAGCATTGCCAGAAACCACTCTGGGCTCCAGTCAGCCAGGGACCCCTCATCATACCAAGGAACGACTCAGGAGATGCCTCTCCAGCGGGGAACGTGACTGGTCTGTCATGAACTGTCCCTGAACTAATGAATGATCTTCACGCCTCCTTCCCTGCCCCGTACCCTGTCAGTCAAGGTAAACACAGCCCAGTTCCTGGGCTCCACGTCAGCCTCTGGAACACAAACACCAACTCTCCAGGAAGAAGAGGGTGTGCAGCCGTTCCCTCAGCCTGGGGGCAAGCAGCTTCCCCTCTTTCAGCTCCTCACCTGTAAGCGGTGATCAGCTGCCAGACTCACCAAGGTGTTTGGGGAATTAATTAAAGTTTGCAAAACCACCATGTCCCACAGATGAAAGGCACTGAGGTTTTTATTCATAATTTGAGCAATACGAGAAGAATAGTTCCTTTCTAAACACTCACGTTCCCAGGGAAAACATCTTCCCGAGGCCCTGGCTGGGCCATCCTGTCCAAGCACAGCTTCAGTGGAGGCCCCAGGACAGGGGGTGAGGTGAGGCCTCTGCCTTCTTTTCACTTCATGGTGAGCTCATTAAGGTGGTCTTGGACCAGGAAGAAAGGGGACAGGCCTCTCTTCTCAGGTCAGGCAGGGGCACTCATTGGGCTCCGGGCCCAGCACACTATAGAGTTTTGCATTATGTCACTTTGTCCTCATAATAACCCACGACACTAGCACTTCTCAGCCTCCCCCACAGCTGGTGGGAATACCCATCTGTGCAGATGAGAAAACTGAGGCTTGGCAAGGCGAAGACATTTACACAAGCTCCAGGGGCCAAGTTCAGACTCAAGTCTGTCCAACTGCTGTGCCCAGGCCTGTCATGAAACAGTAACGGAGCTCCGTCTCAAAGGACAGACTCAGCAGGCCCAGGGGGTGAAGGTTGGTCATTCTCTTCTGGGAGCCATAACCATTACCTCTTAGGATTTCCCCACTCCCTCCAACTTCCTCCCATAGGCAAGGACGGCAGAGGGACTGTCCAATCTGCTTAGGCCCAGGTGTCCAGAGCTCTGGTTACATGGCTCTGGTTGGAAAACCAGACCGTGTGAAGGCCTAGAAAACCAGGGCCTCGGCAGGCTCCAAGACTCGAGAGATACAAAAGGAAGGGCAGGCAGAGCCCAGCCACACGGCCAGCTGCTGCCCGCAATGGCTGGGGGACACACAGCCCCGATGCAGGCTCTGTGGCCACAGCCCCAGATTCCTCCTGCCCGAGTTTCAATACTGCTGGCCACCAGCCCTCAGGATAGGAACTGAGGGCCACCCAGCCAGCCTTCCTCTAGGACAGGAATCCTTTATTGGTGGCTCCTGTCAGCATCCTATTTCTGTCTAAATAGCTCCAAAGTGGGAAATCCCAAGATTGTGGACTTCAAAAAAGAATAAGAAAAGTAGGGGGTGGTGTTGAGGGGAAAACCACACATAACGGAAGAAAAAAAAACAAAACAAAAGTCTCATGAAAGCCAGATCCCCAGCCCCCAAGGCAGAGTCAGAAGCCAGGCTGGATCTTGGGGACAAGGGTAGCAATGCTGTAATCCAGCTGTCTGGAACTCAGACAAGAGTTCCCAACAGAAACAATGGAATGAGAGAGACCGCCTGTTCCTTCTGGAGTTCACAGAAGTGGAGCCACCCTGGAACCCATCCACAGAGGGGCCAGTGGGAAGGGCTGTTGAGAGATGATGGACACCCCTGTTCTCCCAGCAGGATGCCCCTGCTCCAGCTCCTTGCTCCTGCATGGAACTGGCAATTCTGAACAAGGATCCAAATGATGTCTTTGGTATGCATCACTCTCTCAATTAACCGCCACCTGGTGACCACCTCTTCAATGGGGACTTCGACCAGGAAGGAACATCCTCTGGCCCCTGGCCACCCCAACAGAGGTGACCATGGCCTGCTCTGGCCTCCAATGCAGCCAGTATTTGCTTCCAGGCGCCTGCCTACTTAACAGGACAGCTCAGTGGTTTCCCACTAAAACACCAAGTGCCTAATAATGTCTCATCTATGCTTGGGTCCCTAAGCCAGGGTCCCTAAGCCGGGCTACTTTAGTGAAGGACCAGGTTTAGGGGTTGAAGATATGTAGGGAGCCCGGAGGAAAATTGCACCTTTGGGTACAACATGCTCTGGGTTCCAAGAAGGTGGTGAGGACAGCTTAAGAGTGATGCAGGGCAGGGGGGTAGCAGGTGGGCTAGAGAGTGGGGTGCAAGGGAGTGTGGGTGTTCATGGGGTTCTCAGGCTCCCCCTTTCTTTTCCTACCATACTTGGGGCTGGGAGTCTGGAGGAACGAGCCAGGAGCTTGGGAAGTAATGGGTGGTACCTAGAAGGGGGGGGGATCCTGCAGCTCAGTGCAAGGTCTGCAGGGGCACCCAAGTAGGCACGAAAATACACATTTAATAGGTCACATAGAACCCAGGGCCTGCAGTACAGGTTCATGGCATCTTCTCTTATAAATTATATACCAACATTTAAATTTTATCAGCAAGTACTGTGGGATTTTACCAGCATAGCAAAAATTGTCCAATTTTTTTATGATCTTATCAGCATTTTTAAAATCCAAAAAGTTGACATCCTGGTGAATTTGCTGACTCCAGAGGAAGAACTGATTGGGAAGAAGGAAAAATGAAATGCTCTGCAGGAGAGTAGGGGACCAGGGGACCAGGAGCCAGGCCCCGGGAGACTTATCTATCTGTACGTTGGTTAGGAGATCAGTGCCAGAAGCGGCCACAAGGCATCCCCAGTGGAGAACAGCTGTGCTCTCTCTCCTGGGAAGAGGTGACAATTCACTTTTGGCCCTGTTCCCAGTGATGCCTGTACACTGTTCCCAGAGAAGATCGGGCAAAGCTGCAGAGGAATTTGTTGAGGAACTGGCCAGACGGGATTAGGAAAACTCTGGGGATGGCAAGGACAAGAGTTTAGAAATATGTGACATGGGAATGAATCACCTTGGGCAGATGGGCCCACGGGACAGAGGGCCCTTTCTGTCATAATCCCAGCCTCTGGAGCGCTACTTCCAAAACACAGGTTTGACCTTGTGACCCAGGGAGAGAGTGTGATGGAGAAACCACCTGAAAAGGCTAGTGTTGTGTTCAGGTGGCAGAGCAGAGAAACCAGCGATGCAGGGTGGAGGACAGGCTTTAGTTTAACCTCCACCAACCAGGGACGTCCCGATACCTGCTCCCAAGCAGAGCCATGTCAGCCAACACGT